TGATATTATTACTGATAAAACTCAACTACAGCGATTTTTAGGCAGCCTAAACTATGTAGCGGAATTCTATAAAGATCTAGCTCAAGATGCAAAGCCACTATTCGAACGTTTAAAGAAGAATCCACCTACATGGAGTCATGAACATGCTTTAGCTGTCAAACGCATAAAAGCATGTGTCAAGACTTTACCGTGCTTAGCCATTCCTCATCCAGAAGCCTTTAAAATTGTGGAAACGGATGCATCCGATAAAGGCTATGGAGGAATTCTGAAACAAAGAATAAATAAGAAAGAAACCCTGGTCCGTTTTACTAGTGGTGTATGGACAGGACCACGAATTAATTATTCCACTGTGAAAAAGGAAATATTATCTATAGTTCTTTGTGTTCAGAAATTTGAATCTGATCTACTTAATCAAAAATTTTTTATTAGAGTAGATTGCAAGACTGCAAAAGAAATTTTACTTAAAGATGTTAAAAATATTGCCTCAAAAACAAATCTTTGCTCGATGGCAAGCAATTTTATCAGTTTGATTTTGAGATTGAATTTATCAAAGGGGAAAATAATTCTCTCCCAGATTTTCTAACACGTGAATTTCTTACAGGAACATTACAAAACAATGAGCTCCAAAAGAAGAATTGAAGCTTCCTCTTCTTTGTCTCAAGATGGAACATTACAAAACAGCAATGAAGACTCCCAGAAAGAAGGAATTTGAAGCTTTCCTCTTCTTTGTCTCAAGATCCACGAACAAAACCCCAAGACTCTGGATGCTTATGAATGCTAGCGGTTCCTAAGACCACGCATGAAGATGCGTTTCGCCGAGATTAGTCTACCACCACCTTCTAATCATATTCTTTCTAATGGCCCCAATTACTCAAAGAACATCAGTAAAATGGCATGCTCATGAAGTTGCAAAAATTGTTATACGGAAAAATCCATTTTTCTTCGATTCCCCTATTTGGCACCTAAAATTATCTCTTTTATCAGGCAATTCTAGAGCCCACTCGTGTGTTCTGTCATCTTCTCCCCTCTAGATTAAGAGGAGAAGGAGACATGGGCGCATACAATAAAGTTACCATAAGTTAACTACGCCGTATTTCTCTCCAAGAGAGACTGACGCGGAACAGACCTTTTTTCACAACTAAAAGAATTTGCACCCCAATGTCGTGCTCCCAGGGTATCTTTTAAACTATTTTGATCTATATGTACGCACTGGGCAGTGGTCGCCGTCTTTGGTTTTATGATAAACCCGCCAAAAAAAGTTTAGCTGGGCTTCATAGCCTTTAATTGGCCTAAAAGTGAGAATGGGACTTCTTCTTTGTTCCAAGAATTGGTTTTACAATTGCGGGACCTTTTCTACGCCTATCTAATGCCTCATAAGATTCCGAACCATTTATGAACAGTTGCGAGCCTTGAAGATCGGAACTCTTCACAAATCCAAGACTTACTGTTTAACAGTTGACCTTATACCAAATTCCATGGATATTATAATTCTGGGGATTTAAAGAAGAATGGGACTTTCCTCTTTGGTTCCAAGAATGGTTTTACAATTGGGGACTTTTCCCTATTGTAATGCCTCATAAGATTCGAACCATTTATGAACAGTTTTGCGAGCTGAATCGAACTTTTACAAATCCAAGACTTACTTTTACAGTTGCTTATAAAATTCCATGGATAATTAAATGGGATTATCAAATTGTGATAAAGAAGCAATTAAAATGGGAAGATTCTAAGGTGGAAATCCCATGGTTAGCTCGCCGTATACTTTTACGATGGTGGGATAAAAAATGTGAGCAACATCCGTGGATATATCACCATAAATCTCACTTTTATAATGACTTATTTGAACTGGAACAAGACGCCTTTCAATGACAGATATTGTTCACCCAAGCAACTGAAAAGGTTTACCTGTGGAACAATTTACAAAATTTTTATAGGCAAATACTGCAACAAAAAGAACCAAATCCCCATTATCTTGCTTTGACAAGCCTCCTTTGTTCTTTCTGGCTCTACATCAACATTACTGTTATGTCACCCACAAGGAACCTTCAAAAATCTAACAAGGTTTGGAGATGCAATAGAGGAGGCAATATAATAGAGCAGCAAATCAGAAACCATATCTAGTATATTCTAGGAGAAGGAAAGTAAAAGGGGACCAGAATTGATATATTGCCATATCACCAACAGTCATAACAGAATGAGATATGTAATGATGAGTTTGTTATAGATTTGATACGTTTGTTACAGATATGATATGCTTTTGCCTATAAAAAAAGGAAGGGGTGTTGAGGGTGAGGTATCTTGGAATATTTTGAAATTCATTATAGCAGATTATCTTCTGCTCGGGCCTAGCCAAGGGATTGGGTTTCCAGTCCATTGTTTCCTAGTTCTTTTGGGTACTTTGTGTATTCTATTCCTCCATTAATTTTCTGAAACCATATAATCAAACATTCTCCTCTCTCCTTCTACTCCTGAGTTGTATTATCTGTTTGGTTGTTTGGGTTGTGTTGTTGGCTAATCTGATTGTCAGGTTGAGGAAGATCAGTTCCTTGATTCTCTAACACTATAGGATCTGATTATAGTGATTATAATAATGAGGGTGAAGAAATTGATGTTCATTTGATTCGAGGGGAGTCATTGGTGGTCGGAAGAGCGATGGCTACAACAAACAAGGAAGAGGATGGATTTTGTACTAGGACTTCCAAGGATTGCTAGGGGTAGGATTCTGTTTTGCCGTGGTCAATCTATTCTTAAGGTGCATTTGGTTCCATGTTTCAAGACTTCAGATGCTGTGTATTGCTGATTTATTTTTTAGAGAAGTGGTCAGGCTACATGGTCCTCCAACTAATGTTGTTTCCAACGACAATATCAAATTTGTGGGATACTTTTTGAGGAAGCTTGGACCTCAAATGGACAATCTAAAGTTGTGAATTGAAGCTTGGGTCCTTTGTTAAGATGTATTGTGTGGAACTATGTGAAGGCCAGGTACTTTGTGATATCACAAGCTGAAGTTACTATAATAATTCATTGAACAGAACCATAACAAACACTGATATACGCGCTTTTATGGGGTAAACCTAGGTGCATGATTCTTTACTGTTCCCAAAACAAGAAGCTAGAGGAGTACAGTGTGGGCTTGAGCCCACCAGGAGAATGGAGTTGCCACTCAGTTAATACGAGACAATCCATATCTTTAGGCGATTGGATCCCTTGCAGAGAATCGAACGACCTTAGACAAACAAAGACTGAATAAGCAAGCTATGTATGAGCATGGGAAAGTGTTATGCAACCAGGTCCATCTAGCTGTAAGGCTGGCCTCTATTATTTTGATTAAACTTAATGAAGTTGTCCTTACTTGGGCTTTTTTTGAAATTAATTGTCTGCAATATAATGTAATTAACCATTGAATGCATATATATACATTTATGAGGAGAAAATACACATACACTACTAGATTTGTTTTTATGGTAGGTATAAATGCGGATGCTAGTTTGGAATGAGGTATGTGAATTACATTCTTTTGAGATCATTAAGCATTTTATTGCTTAAACATTAACCCATATTATAATATTTTCTAAACTAATTTATGGATGTATAATTATTTGCTTAATTAGAATGGACTTTTTGACCAAACGAATAAAACAATATAAGAGCAAACAGTTAGAACAAGGTCCAAAGTATTATATTAGAGAAGGCTTATAGGTATTATATTAAAGGAGGCCCAAATTTAAAATGGTTGTTAGGTGTTAAAAAGGAGGGAAGCAGAGAGAGAGAGAGGCACCTTCTGCACTCGTCAATAAGAAATAGGGAAAAAAAGATATCTTTAGCAGAATCAACTGTTTGACACTTCTTCGATTTATGTATTGCTATTTCTACTTCATGGACGTTTTCCATACAAAAACTTCATCTCCTTTATTCTTCAAACAAAAACAAGATTGCTAATATTTGAAGATTCAGATCATTTCGACCCAGGTCACTAAATGTAGATTTGGGATGCATGTCCCAGTTCAGGGTACCCTGGGTGTTTGAGCGAATTAGGTAACATGCATTGGAAATAAAACTAACACCCTAAGGTTGAATCATTGAATTTATATTTTCTAGTATTTCTATTCTGCATCACATGCAAGTTTGGATTAAAATAGTAATTTCTTTGTTTTTCCACTGTTTAGGGCAGTGTATATGGAATTTATCTCTCCCTCTCTCTTTCGTGTGTGTGCACAGGCTCACACGCAGGGATAGAATTATAGAGCTTCCTATTCTTATTGATTATTGTGCGTTCAGTCTAATTCAGTTTGATTTCATTGAAATTAAATGATTGTTATAATCTAATAAACCAAATTGAAACTAAGAGGAAATTGAACTATATTTAGATTGCTAATTTCGATTTTGGAGTCATTTTGCTTGGGATACAACAACCTCGTTGGTAATTCCTTGCCTTTTCTGCCTAGGCTCAACTTTTCACTGCAGACGTTCCTTGTGAAAGTACCAGCCAAAAGAAAACCTATTTCTTGTAATGCAGTTTATTCATTATTGTAATAGATGATTCTAATAAATATAACTATCCCTTAAAAGCAAGGTGGAAAGAGCTTTCAGGTCCATACTTAATTGTCACTGAAGAAGATAAATGAGCTTAGAAGTTTCAAAACTTGGGTTGAGTTCTCTCAAGCCAGGATAAGAAGGGTAAAAAAGAGCATAGTTTTCATTAAATGTTATTATTGTAGGCTTCATTGTCATTAAAAGAATTGTTTAGCAATTGCAGGTTACCTACCAACAATGCAAATATTGATGTTGAAGTTTTCAGTTTTGGGGTTGCATTTTGCGGGTCTATGTCAATTTGTAGTAAACATGACCCTTAAAAGTGGTCGTTGGTCCTTTTCTGTTCTCTTTTCTCTCTTTTCCTACATACTCTTTCTCCTCCTTTTGTCTTTCATTAGTAGGGAGGGAGGGGTAGGAACTTGCAGTTCTTAATATGCATTACATAAGTGATTACTGTCTAAATTCAGGGAGCTAGGAAAGTACTAGTGAAACTTGGGGCCAAAGGTTCAGCTTTTTTTGAAGAAGGGCAAAAACCAATTAGACAACCTATTATATCTGCTGCAAGAGTACTTGACACTACAGGTGCTGGAGATACTTTTACTGCTGCTTTTGCTGTGGCTCTGGTGGAGGGCAAGACAAAAGAGGAATGCATGAGATTTGCTGGTATGGCTGGTGGCTTTCACAGTTTGCATGGGTTGATATTTATATAAATGCTAACCTTTTCTTTTTTGAAGGAAAAGAACAAATGCTTTACATTATTTTCTTAATTTTCTTTTAATTCTCTGATGTGCCAAATAGTGGTTCTTTTTTGGAACAATGTTCGATTTGCCCCTGATCTTGATCATGACGTATGATTTACCTGAAATTGAGATTTTGTATCAATTTTAACAGAAATTTTCAATCAGAAGACTAATTTGGTTTTTTTTTTTCTTTTTTTTTTTTTTTTTATCATTAAAAAGGATAGTATGTTCTCAGTCCAATTGCATAGAGAGACTTTAAGAGTTAGTTCACACTACACAGCCACTACCAAACGAATGCACAATAATGTGATGTAGATAATGCTTTCCAGTTTTGGTTTGCATCTCTTGGCCTGGGGTGTCGTATGCAATTTCTGTACGGGTAAAACACATGGACCTTTAAAAGTGGTCGTCTCTGGCCACTTCTTTCTGTATCTTCTCTCTTTCTCGTCTTTTCCTACTAACTTACTTCTTCTCTCCCTCCTTTGTCGTTTTCATATAGAGGAGTCCAGCCAGTGCAACAGGCAGGTTTAGCAGAACTTGCAGTTCTTAACTCATGCATTACATAAGTGTATTACTGTCTAAACTATTCCAGGAGCTCAGGAATAGTACTAGTGGAAACTTGGGCCCAAAGAGTTCACTTTTTTTGAAGGAAGGGGCAAAAGAACAATATTAGACAATCCTCATTTATCATCTGCTGCACAGAGTACGTTGACGACCTACAGGTTGCTGGAGAAGTACTTTTTACTGCGTGCTTCTGCTGTGAGCATACTGGTTGGAGGGCAAGACAAAAAGAAGAATGCCACTTGAGATTTTGCTGGTATGCGCTGGTAGGCCTTTCACCAAGGTTCTTGCCATGGTTGCATATTTATTATAAATGCTAACCCTTTTCTTTTTGAAGGAAAAAGAAACAAATATGCTTCTACAATTATTTTCTTAATTTTCTTGTTAATTCTCTGAGTGTGCCAATAGTGGGTTCTTTTTATGGAACAATGTTCCCGACTTGCCCCCTGATCAGTTGATCCATGGACGCTTATGACTTTTACCCTTGAAATTTGAGATTTTGTATCAAGGTTTTAACAGAAAACTTTTCACATCAGGAAGACTAATTTCGGTTTTTTTTTTTCTTTTTTTTTTTTCTTTTACCAAGAATAAATTGCCGTGACCAGGTTCCACTGAGTGAAAATAACATAACCGGTCGTCTTGCAGGCCAAAACCAAGGTCCATTGGTTTTCTGATCGTCTCGCATCTTTCACGTATACTGACCCAGCAAAAAAGAAAACAAAAGGGCTAGGATCAGTTCTTTGCTGATTTGAAAATTTCATGTTAAAAGGGTCAATCCCAGGAAACTTCAATTTTGGCGTACTATTGTATATTCGTCCAACAAATTCAGAGGGCAAATTAATACATCATTGTATTCTTTTCTTGGAGGAAAAGGAAATTAATTGTTCTTTTGTGGATGCCTCTTCTTTTAAACATTATACAGCTGCCAGCAGCTGTCTTCTTTGTGTTGAAAGTGAAGGGCAAGGTTTTTTTTTTTTCTTTTTTTTTTTTTTTTTACAAGAATAAATGCGTGGACCAGGTCACTGAGTGAAAATACATAACGTGTCTGAGCAAAAACCAGGTCATTGGTTTTTCTTATTGTCTGTCTTTCACGTATATTGACCAGCAAAAAAAAAACAAAAGGGCTAGATCAGTCTTCTGATTGAAAATTCATGTTAAAGTCAATCCAGAAACTCAATTTTGGGTATATTGTATATCTCCAACAAATTCAGAGGGCAAATTAAACATCATTTATTCTTTTTTGGAGGAAAAAGAAATTAATGTTCTTGTGATGCTCTTAAACATTATACAGCTGCAGCAGCTTCTCTTTGTGTTCAAGTGAAGGGAGCAATTCCTAGCATGCCTGACCGGACATCGGTTTTGGGTCTTCTTCAATGCGTTTGAGCGGTTACATCCTTTTGTTGAAATGCGAGTACAGCTTGATTTATCAGAAGATGTCTTTCTTGATGCTGTCAAAAGGGATTTTCTTGACACTTAACATTAAAAAATAGTAAAATTGCCAATGTCCACATAAATAAAATTGGCTGGATTCCGACCAAAACTGGAAATTAGGGATGTTATTGTGCTGTAAATAAGTGTTCAATGATTTTTAAGGGTTTTTTCCCCTTATAATTTACAGTGGAGGGTGGGACTCCAATTGGCCGTATCTCAGTGTCTAGTGCAGATTGATGTCCTCTACTAGTTGCACTAAGCACTGAGGAATTTCTTGGCTCAGAATTTTTAATGGGTTTGAGAGCTTTAACTATTTGAATATTCTAAACAAGGCCTTGCTTTGATTCTTTAGAGTTGTTAGTATAAGCAATGCTCTTCAACCGTAGTAGGCACATCACTGGAGGGATTGCAAATCAAGATTGGCAAAGATATCATTAATGTTCATAAGATATCAAACATACTCCAATTTTTTCTATGTCTTATAGCTTATATTATTTCCATATTTATAGTTAATTTAAATTATTTTATTGATTATTGATTATAATTTCACCTGCAATATTAATGGTATTTTTATAAATAATTGTATCAAATTAATAACACAAATAATAGTTGATAAATTAAAAAGACTCGAAAAAAATCACAAACAATAATAAAATAACAGAATATATAATATTTTAATTGAAAATGTAAATAATTAAATATGTTGAAACAAATAATCTGTCTTTTACAATCAAAATAAGAACTACCAGTCCAACTTTTCTGCAAATTGAAAATGAGAAACGCACTTTAATAAGAGATAGATTATCGTTAGGAAATAAGAGAGTAAAAACTTTTAAAAAATAAGAAAATAAATTTTTTTAAAGAAAAAAAACAGAAAAAATCTTGATTAGATTCTTTTTATGAAAATGAGAGAAAAAAAGAAATCATATACTGTAAAGTGAAAAAAAAAATGTTAATTTTAAAGGGCACATTTAAATATTGGCATTTAAGGCCTTTAAAAAATATATATTTGCATCAATCAGGTGGTGACCTAGTCGGTTTTTTCACTTATGTCGGGAGTGAAAAATCTTGAGTTTGAGTTTTCTAGACCACAGTGGAGCACACGGTGTTATTTTAGCTCATGCAAGCCTTCAATGGATTAAAAAAAAATATTGGCATGTAAGAATATGTTAATTTCATTCGATTTTTTTTCAACTAAATATATAAAATTTACTCATGTACTTTATATCGAAAATCTTGCAGCACCTTGAAATTTAATATTTGATCTATTATATTTCTGAAGATATGATTTTAGTAACATTGCATCTCTCCATACAAGTGATAATAGTTTTTTGGTATTTTTGATTTTTATAAGAGATGAAGACTATGATTTTTTTAAATAATAATTTGTACATTTTTTAGTAATCTAATAAATAATTGATTGATCTAATTTTGTAAATTTAAATATTTAATAGAAAAATTTTATAAAATTAAAATATTTAATATGTATAATTTTATAAATTAAGTATTTAAAGGTGACATAGAATTTTCCATATAAAATATGCTAGCATAGGAGTGAATTAATGTATTTAGGCATTATATCAGCTATTACATAAAGTTTTATCTTGGTTATAAAAATTTAATTTTTGTTTTTAGACTATTGTCGTGTCTATTCTCTCATACTTGGTTTGGGTTGTGACAAATTTTGTCTTTTAGTTTGGGTTACTACAAATGTTGTGTTTTATAGTGAGAGCGTACGACAATCAAATCCGAAAAAGAGGCAAAAATTTTGACGGATAATGACAAGAGGACGCCGTCCTTAGCAGGATGGTAGTGCCCGCTGCCTAATATCGTGTCGGTGAAGCAAGGAGCTGCAGCCAAAGATTGATGGTCCTGGTTATAGTTGCAAGCAACGGATTTTTTCCGCGCACTGAGGGCATTTATGCCATCCAAGTCAATTAAAAATTCAAATTTAAAAGATAAAAAGAATTTTATTGGATTTAAAAAAAATTAGATTTTTGTGGTTGATTTTAATTGCAATAATACAAATTCATGGTGATATAAAAATAAAAAAAATTAAAAGTAAAATAATAGAAAAAAAACTATAGTATAACTTAAAAATTACTAAATTTATAATTCTAAAAAATAATCTTGATTATAGGAATATGCCATATTTTGCCCTCATCCTAAAATATTTAATATAATATTATTTTTAAAAAAATTAAATCAATTGCAAAATGCAATAAATTATACATAAATAAAAGATGAAAACCACACTTTTAAAAGATTATCAGGTATTAATGTTATATTTATTGATTTCTTTGCGAGGGTTTATCACCAAATAAAAGTAACGACGACTCCGTTTGTTTCCGTAAAATAATTTATAGAAAAATATTTTTTATAATTTTTTGTTGTTTGGGGCGTTCGGAAAAAATATTTTCTTAGTTAAAGAAAAATTAAATCATTTTTTAAAGAAAATAACTTCTCATTATTTTCAAGAGGGTAAAATATTTTCCAGACATTGATAAATCTTATAAATCTATATTTTTTTAATTTATTAATCATCGTAGTCACTGTCACCAGTCACCATTTACCACCGATCACTACCACTGGCTACCGGAGACTTTTATAATTTGTATATATATTTTTTTGCATTCTTCTCATAGTTAATAATATAATTTTTAAATTATAAAATTTCTATTATTATTAATATTTTTTATAGTCTATAAGATAAAGACTTTAATATTTTTAACTCAGTAACAGAAAAATAACTTTCTCATTTATTTCCAAAGAGGGTACAAATAGCTTTTCAACCTAGAACATGATAAATCCTATAGTAATAATCTATTATTCTTATATTAAATTTTATTTACCCCAATCATACGCTAGTCACTGTCAACATTGTCACCAAATCTTTATCCAAGATACCGAATCACTACCACATGTGTCTACCGGAGACTTTTATAATTATCTATATATATTTTTTCTGCATTCTTCTCTATAGTTTAATTAAGTTTGATTCAATTTTTTGCTAAATATTAATATTTCTATTATTTATTAAGTATGGGTTTTTGATAGAGTCGTTATAAGATAAAGTACGGTGGTGATATAATTTTTAAACTAAGATTGTCAATATTTATAACCCAAAAACAATGGAAAATAAATTCATATTTAAAAAATATTTTTTATAATTAATAATTTTTTTCATCATAAGCTAGATTTATACTAGAAACCAAACCGGACGCAGACAACATATTTTTTACCTTCTATTTTATTTTGGAGAATTTTATATTTTGATTTCCACAAGGTGTGAATTTTCTATTATTATTAATATTTTTTATAGTCTATAAGATAAAGACTTTAATATTTTTAACTAATTTTCAATATTATAACCAAACAATGGAAAATAATTCATTTAAAAAATATTTTTTATAAAATATTTTTCAGTAAGCTATTTTATAGAAACAAACGGAGCAGACATTTGATTTTATTTATTTGGAGAATTTATATTTTGATTTCAGTGTGGCTTATTTCTTCATTTATGTTATCGATGTATAGTGGCATCCATATTCGTCATATGCTATAAATTATTTGAAAACGATTCAAGTACAAAAGTGAAATGACCCGATATATTATTTTCAAAACCTTTTAAATTAAAATTAAATCAAAATGCCAAATAATCTAGATTTTAGCCAATGAGATATTTTTCCGTCAATATTTTTAATTTCATTGGTTAAGGAATAATTGAGTAAGGTTGAACTATAAGAAAATCGGATTAAATCATTTATAAACCAATTGAAAGTTCAACTGAACTAGACCAACCCAGAGTTGAACCAAATCATCAATTTGGACCAAACCAAGCCTTATTGCCCAATCACAGGAAGAGAGAGAAAAAAAATCTCAACTCCTTCCCCTCTCTCGACGCCGACAGCTCTCCCTCTCCCTTTCTTTCGGTCTCCGGCCACCTGCCACCATTTTCGACAAATGAACGCTCTAAATGCACCTATTCGATGCAAGAATCAAGAATATGGCCTCAAATAGTGCTGTTATTGCGCCGTTGGAGAGAAATCGCAATCTAAAGGGGCTGTTACTGTCGCAGCACAATTTTCCGGCGATTCTCGCCGTTCTCGAGGAGCTGGGGTGACAAGGTTAGCTCGAATCGACTCCTTGCGACTGGGCGAGCATTTCCCTCAGTCGATTCATGGGTTTATCAGGAAATGAGGAGACCACCGTGAACGGCGGTGAGGTTAGCTACTGTCGGCCTGATTCCGGCCAAATGGCTCATCGGCTCGCTGAATTGATGTCGAAATCGAACTCACCATCAAATTCCAAGCAGAGCAGTGGAAGCCTCGTGAAGTTCCCGTGAGACACGATTTTCCGTCTACCGTGAACGGCAGCCCGCGATGGAGATCCGGTTAGACTCCGGCAGGGACTTAGAGGCAGAATCGTCTACCCTAGAAGCTGATCTCAAATCCGCGATCCAATTTCAAATTTGTGAGTTCTAGGCCTCACACTAACTTCTTTTGTAAAATTTGATTAAAGTTTATTAATTTAATTAGATCAATTTAGTTTAGTTAAGTGGATTGATTTTGAATGAGCTTAAGTAAATACCAATTTAGTTAATTGAGTTAATGGTTGATATAAAAGGTCATGAAATTATACTCAGATTTGATATCTATAGTTACCATTATGAATTGCACAAATAATGTTTCTAAAGTTTAAATATTATTATTGAATAATAATTAAACTGCGATTTGATATAAGATATGTGTGATTTGATAGTAATCCTAGTTAATGATTAACAATAGACTTGTGAATGATCGGGATGCTATTTAAACTGTGTAATTGGATTGAACGGTGAGTTATATAATCAAATTGATGATGTGAAATGATAGGTTCTGGGTTGTGTTGATAATGGAAGAAGGAAAGGCTTAATTGATTGATTTACCTTATAGATGAGCTGTGATTGTGTGCTAAATTTCCTTGAATTGGAAACAGGTAAATTGTTCTAATTATAAGGGAGATGTTGCCGGATTTTCAGCTACGTATCTTTAGATAATTAGATTAATTGTATTATTATTTTTAATCCGAAATTGGGCTAAGGATGTGAAGTAATGTTATTGACTTAGAATAAATGAATGAACTAGAGAAGTATAACTCGATATAAACTAGTTGATTTAAATAAATGATTATAAAAATCTTATGTTAGGATTTCTTATTAGAGTTTCTTTTCTAGATGCATTAGTCACAAGGATTTGCACGATGAAAGCTGATAAAGGATTGGGAATGAGATTAGCTATGCTTTTAGCATACAGAATGGTGAGTAGTGTTAGATAACTTTTATTGCGCATTGCATATGCATGCAAACATACACGGATAAATATTATTCATACGTACATAATACAGAAATGTCATCTAGGTATAATACAATATTTGAGGAATTGTTATTTGTGTTGCATTACTTGTTTGGATATTGCTTGATTAGTTGTGATGCGTTACATGTATGCCTTGCTTGTGTGAAATTGGAATGAAGTGTGTAAGGGGATCGGCTCCCTAACGCACACGTGATGATAGGGCGGGCCATGTGTGAGGACGACTCGTCGAAGGTTTTCGTGACGTCATTGACCAATTTCCACTTGACGTAATTTTGTGAAGTGCTAATATTTGTGATTGCTGTTGTTATGTCATCTGAGTGATTGACTGCGTGATCATATAACTAGTCGGAGGACTAAGATGATTTATATATGCACTTGTGCGACTGTGTGGGGTGAGAGGGTTCTCTAAACTCTATTCAGTGAGTTTAGGCACTCACCCTTGAATTAATATTTATTTTTCCAGGTTACAGGTCTTCTAATATCTCGTCATCCTCTATCGTCAGATGTCTAGAAGATACCCCAATAAATATTTTGAAAATTTAAATTCTTAGATTGTTCCGCAATTACGATAGTTCTGTATAATTAATTTAGAAAATTATTGATGTATTACTTATAAAAGTTCCTATTATATAAATATTAATATGGGCCTAAAAAACTTTGGAAATTAATTTACTATTGAATATGATGATACGGGTCAAACGAGTGTTAAGACTTATGATATTTGACTGTTGATAATATTGGCCTAAGACCATTTTCGTTGAACAGAAAATTTATTCTGGATATTTTTTTCTTTGGCTTACTACTGGTTTCAGTGGCTTTAAGCCTATTCAGGTCCTAGTGTCGATCTGGCTCAAGGTAACAGAGGTCATGACAAAAAGATTCAAAAAGTTATTTTTGTCGTTTAAATCAATAAACTAGTTGTTACCATAAAAATGTATATTTTTTATCAAAATCATCTTTAAGCAAAAAGATCTAATATCACATTTTTTAATTTTAGTTTTATACTTTTATTATTCAAAGAATATAAATAATTTTTTTATTTGTTAAAACATCAATGAACCCTATTAACTACGATTAATAAAATTTGATATTATTATCAATGAATTGAGCCAAAAAGATCTAATATCACATTTTTTTTAATTTTAGTTTATACTTTTTTTTTAAATTATTCAAAGATATAAATTTTTTTATTTGTTTAAACATTTTTCAATTGAACCCTATAACTTACGATAATAAAAAAATTTGATTATTATCAATGAATTATATATATTTATTTTTTTTTTTTTTTTTTTTTTTTTTTATATATATATATATATATAATATTTTTTTTTTTTAAAAAAGGTAGATTACAAAAAGATTTTTTTTGTTTTTTTCATAAACAAAAGTATATGAATTACAACTTTGAAATATTTTATTATAAATTATTAAAGGCAAGTATTGGAAACTTAATGTGGGAGTTTCTGCAGAATCTTGATTACAGTTCTGCAAGGATTTTCATTTAAGTCAGTCCACTGCTTGCATGATTTTCAGAATTAACCACTGTCAATTTTTGTGCCAGGAGCTGCCGCTTGCAGATCAGGCCTGACTTACGTTGGACCCGCCCCCTGCTGGTTTTAAAAATAATGGTAGATGCAGCATTAAAGGAATGGGTTGAGGGGCTGTGGGTTTGGGTTTAGTGATTGGAAATGAGCTGGGTTTATGGGAAGTCATGGCAGCTGGCTTTGTCGGTCCCACAGTTCTATTTACCATTCCCGCGGTCATTGCTAAGTTGCTGGGCAGCTTTGTTTGTTGTTGAGAAAAGGCGTTTGGAGGTTGGCCGACTTAAACCGTGCTCGAAAATCAGATTGCCATGTTTCCTTATTCGGCCACCTGCAGCGTCGAAGTTTTCCGATAATGAAACTTGGAACATGGGGTCTTATGAAACCTTGACTTGCTTTTCTAGGTCAAATTATGTTATCTTTTCTTTTGTTGCATGTGAAAACGTGACCTTAAATGCAGTAGGCTGATTGCTTTTCTTTTGTTTGCTGATAGGATTTGGATGGAGGAAGGTCCGTTATTTCATCCTTTCCTTTGGTGGTTTGTTTGAACCTTTCCTGCATTGATCTATATATTTCAATTTTTCCCTCTCAAAAAAAAAAAAAAAAAAAAAAAATGTGAGTTCTCATTTGATTTAAAAGAAAGCAACCATGAAAAATTTTCAAATTGTTTAATGGGAATTTCACAAAAGCCCAACTATCCTCTGTTAATATTTCATTTAAATCTTGAAACATTTTTGCAATTTCGTTCTTTCTCTTTTAGTCTTTCTATGTTCAAAACATTGGTTTTTTCGGAGGAAAATAAAATTCACGGATCCTTTTCCAATAATCCATATGCCAAACAATTGGCTATAAGTGGAGGGTGAGCAATTTCGGCCCTCAAAACTTGAAAAAAATAACTGAAATCGAACATTATTCAATTCAATTACAGAAAATTTCAAACAAAATCATTTTATTAATATTAACAAAATTTAAAAAATTTTTTCAAAAGTCTTAATTGCCGATTAAATTTTCTTTTTTGGGTTTGGGGGGGTTTGGTTATTAATTTCAGTTCGATTTTCAATCATAAAAGATCAACAGTAAAATCAATTGATGATATTTTGATATTGGTTATTGCGTTATATGCCCACCCCTAATACAAATTCATAGAAAAAGAGTTATATCTTTTTCCCCTTTGAACCAGGGCTTGGCTCATTCTCCATTTCCTTATCAATTAACCGGCTTATCCACCTAAATTTCTAAATTGAATTAATCCATCTACATTGTCCATTTCTACAATTTCAAAATCCAATTTCGAATTTCACGAAATTTCCAATTTTTTCTTTCATAATATATTATCTATTTATTTATTTTCGAAAAAAAAAAACTAATCTAAGGCTTGTTTGGATGAGAAAAGAAAGAAGATTTATTAAAATAGATTACAAGTAAGAAAATTTTATGTTAGGAAAGAAAAGTTAAGTTAAATAAAGATTAAATAATATTATTTGGTTGGTTTAAAATAGTAGGTGGAAAAGAAGGGGTTATATAAAATACTCTCCATAAAAAGGTTGTTATTTTTTTCCATTTTATAATTTTTTTATTATTTTTTTTTTTTTTTTTTTTTTTTTTTTTTACTTATTATTTTTTATTTTTTTTTTGTTTTTTATTATTTTTCTTATTTATTTGTTTTTCTTTATTTTTTTCTTTTTATTTTTTTTATTTTTTTTTTTTTTTATTTTTTTTGTTTTTTTTGTTTTATTCTCTTTTTTTTTTTTTTATACTCTTTTGTTATTTATTGTTTTTTTTTTATTTTTATATTTCTCTTGTTTTTTTAATTTTTTAAATTTCTTCTTTGTACTCTTTTTTGTTTAATTTTTTATCCTTGTTATTTTTTTTATATTTTTTTACTTCTTATTTTTTTAATTATATTTTATTTTTTTTTATTTTTTTCTTTTTTTTTATTTTTTACATTATTTTTTTTTCTTTTTTTTTATATTTAAATTTAATTTTTTTTATTTTTTGTATTTATTTTTATTATTGTTTATTTTTTCTTTCATTTTATTTAATATTATTTTTTTTTTTTATTTTTTTTTTTTTTTTATATTTTTTTAAATTTTCATAAAACAATTTATTTTATTTCCATTATTATCATTTTTTTAATATAATAATTTGTTGGAAACTAATTTTTTTTATAAATATTTAATTTTAATGAATATTAAAACTTCTTTAAAATTTAATTTCTATAACATTAAAACCAAAAAATATAATTGAGAAAAAAAAAAAATATTTAGGTCGATTTTTATACGTAAAGAGATCAGAAAAAGGATATATGTCATAGATTTTGAAAAGTTTATTAAAAGGGAACTAAAAGGAATCATCAATAATTGTTTGATGGAGTACAAAAACTGGTACTGTTCGGGGACCATAATCTAAACCGACCATAAAAGAAAATGTAAAATGCCAATTCTATTAAAATTGGAGTTAGAACAAAAGGCTTTAAATCTTAACTTTCTCCTCCTCCTTTTTTACTAGCAACTTCCGCGGATGGCCAATATTTAAGAGTTGTTAGATTCATAACAGAAGTTGGACTCCGCCCACTTTGTATCTCTCCATCACGAAGCGTCGCCCACTCCACTTAAAATGCTTGGATTACAAATTTTTGCTTGAGGAAGAAAATGAAAAACTTATGATTTCTCTTCCTCATATTTGACTCTTCTCTCTAAAATAAAGGAATCAATTTTTTGTGTGCATTTTTCTCAATCAATTAAAAACTAAGACCAACACTTAGTTCCAATTTTGTATTTTCCATTTTTCTTTTTTTATTTTCATTTTTAATTCTGGAAAACCACAATTTAATATTTGTTGAATGGGTTTTCCAAATTCGGGCTTCTTTTTTAGAGATTTTGAGAAGAAGTATCTTTGAGGCCCAAAAAAATGGTTAAGTTCATTGTAATTCTTCAAATGGATTGCTTTATTTTTGCTTTATTTCCTTAGTTTAATTAAATCCCCCCCCTTGTATTAGATTCCATTAAAAATTCAATTATTTCCTTAATTGTTATTTGAAATTCAATTAAATTAATATAACTATTTATAAAATTATATATATATTATATTAGTGGAAGATAAATGTCGATTTCAATTTCATTAATGATAATATAGTAGTTTTGGATGAAAAAAAAAAAATATTACCACAAGGTAAAATAAGTAATTATTTCATATTATTCCCACTTGTAATTACAAGGAAAGGAAATTCAAATATTATAATAAAATTAGGACAGAACATTACAGGGTGGAAGCATCCGTGTATTTCAACATCATGATTATATTATTTAGAGTTAGGAACCGACACAACGTGGCAAAAATAATATAATAAAGGGGAAGCTCTCCATAAATACCCAAACGTCGCTGGCCCTATTCAAGACACCCAATTTCGAATACTAAAATTGAATTTGCAACATCTAGTTAGAAGTATTAGCATTATTAGATAAATGGTTACAATTTATGGTACTTAAAATTTTTTTTTAAATATCTGATATTTAGGAAGTTATGATTTTCAAAATTAGTTGAGCATTGTTCCTGGGGCTGGACTGGTTTGGTCTAGGGCCAACTTGAACCTATTTTGCCGAATTAAAGCTTATGGTCCAGGCCTGTTGTTATGATTCAAGATTCGATTATCTTTTTGTTTATGTTTATCGATTAGTAAGAAAAGTATTCGCTTTCAAATAGTATAGATTTTGGACTGGTGTTTGGATAGATGTATAGAAACGAAAGAAAAGAAAACATCAGCGGGAGTAGTGATAAAGATAACTTGGTTTTAGTTTCTAATGTTTATATTTCTTTTTTTTCTTTTAAAAATATCTGTTATTATTTTAAATATGTGAAAATGATACTTTATTTTAATATCGCAAATAAATTTAAAATTCAGGCTAAATTCCCTCTGAATTTAGACATTTTTGTTTCTTTTGGTGTAAAGTTCAAGAGGAACAAAATCGTATATTTAGTTCAAAGTTCAGAGGTAGCATTGAGTCTTAATTCCAGGGCAAAATTTATCTAATTGGATGTAATCTAAAGTTTATTTTCGATCCAAAATCGGCAGATTAATAAAAGTTTGAGATCAAATTTAGTGATTTCCTAGGTGTTGTTCCGTGTTGTCTGCTATATATTTATAAAATAATATATGTGTGCTGTGTGTGTGAAATCTTAATACTTTACGTGAATGTATTTCATAATTATTGGTTCATCATTTTTGTCATTTGTTATGTTAATATGACATGCCATTATTTTTAGTAATTCATGTACTCCATTGATAATATATATTATATAATCGTATAAGCAGGATGTGTAAATCCTGCTCGAACTGTAAAATTTTTCTTCTCAAATAAATGCGTTTCCCCGAAAATTAAACTTGCTGTTTCACCCCTTATGAGTTTGAGTCACTTTACCAATCCTTTCAAACCAACACCTTCTTGGTATCATTTACATTTATTTTAGTTATCTAGATTGGATTTTTATAAAGCATTGAGAGGGATTTAATGACTTTTTAAAGCACTTGTTGGATTTAAATTTTTTCTATTTGGCGGCTTAATTATGTAAAATTAAATATGTACACGTCTAAATGTAAAGTCAATTTGCAAATGTGGTTCTTGAATTTGTGAATTAATTTGATATGAGGTATTCAACTAATATAGATATTAAGTTTGTAGAGGACCCATTATATAATCCTATTTCGTTAAAGGACCGAAAATAGGAATTTGTACTAACCCAAACAAGGTATTAAAGTCGTGAGTCTCCAGAGGAGTGGGAATTTCGATTCGTTTACGTTCCCTTCGTATTGGCTTCCGCTTAAATCGATCTTCATTCTCTTGGAAGGCTGCCAAAACCTTAATTTCTTACACATCAAGATCGACAAACAACGATGTCAGGTTACGCAAACCTTTTCTTTATTCAATCTATTTTGTTGGAAAATCTAAGTGGTTTTTTGCACGATTCTAGGTTTACTTGGATTATTGAGATAATTATTAAAAAGTGGTATTTCAAGGAAGCCTTGTGGCATAATTTTGGCTAGATTTTTAGATTATTTCGTAATGTTTTTT